CACTCGGAAAAATCAAAACTTTGATTATTGAAAGAATTTTTGATTATTGAAATTTTTTGATTTTTCTGAGAAAAACTACCTTCCCATATCTGATATTTCAGGTTCAACAGAGAGAATAGGTTGTGGGAAGCTTCTCTGCATAAGGGGTTACACCATTTTTTTTAATACAGAAAGCTATTATCTCGGAAAACTCAAATTTTTAAGTCTTGACCGTTTTTGAATTTTTCGATTTTTCTCCAAAAGTATTCCATAATCTAAACTTTTGGGTTCATTAGAGAAAACGGGTTGTAGAAAAATCCCTTGCATAAGCGGTTAAACCAAAATTAATATACCCAAAGTTTTTGAATTCGCAAAAGAAAAAGAAATGATTTTTTGACGGTTTTTGAAACAATTTTTTTTTTTCTCGAAAACTACTTTTCAAAATCTAAAACATTGCAATCAATGGAAAAAAAGCGTTGCGGGGAAACTCCCTAGACTAAAAGATTATATCCAAAATTTTTACGCTGAAGTTAAATGGAAAACCAAAATTTTTTAAAGTTTTTTTTCGTAGTTTTTTTGATTTTCTAGAAAACGACCTCTTATAACAAAGATTTTGATTTCAATGGAAAAGAAAGTTTGCCGGAAACTCTCTTGCTTAATCATTTACGCCCAAATTTTCGTACACAAAAGCTTATGCCTTGGGAAATGTTAAATTTCGGTGTTTTTACCGTTTTATGAAAAATTTTGTCTGTTTTTAAAAATTAACCAACCAAAAAACAGGTCGTGAAACGCTCCTAGGTAAGCGGCTATGATCAAATTTTTTAACAGAAAATACGGCTCTCAAAAAATTCAATTTTTAAAACTTTCGATTGTTTTTCGTACTTTTTGTGATTTCTCAAAAAAAATCAGCCCGAATCTGATGTTTGGCTTCGATGGAGAAAACGAACGAGTTGTGAAAAGTTATCTTCTCAAAAACTACCCTCCCAAATAAAAAACTTTAGGTTCAAAGGTGAGAACAAGTTGTGAGAAGCTGCCCTGCAATATTGACTGCGGTATTTCTTTTTTTTTCCAAAAAATTTTGTACTCGGAAAAATCATTTTTCGGATTTCCAAAACTAGCCTCCCAAATAGGAAACTTTGTGATCGAGGAAGGAAACGAATTGTGGAAAAGTCCACTGCATAAACGAAGCTGTTATACCCAGTTTTTTTACGACACAAAAAATTAAGGCTCTCTGAAAATCATTGTTTTTTTAACATGATTATTTTAAATTTGTTTTTTTTTTTCTCAAAACATACGCTCGCAAATGATTTTAATCGAAAAGGTAAATTGTACGAAGCTCCCCTGCCTAAACGGCTACTTCTAAACTCATTACAGGAAAAGTTGTGGAATCCAAAAATGTCAGAACTCATTCTGTTGACCGTTTATGCACAAAAACTGCCATTTATGCACAATTACTATCCGAAAACTACAAGAGACAAAAATTTATACGAAAGTTTATAAAGCTCGAAATCTTAAATTTTTTTTTTAAAAAAAAAAAAAGCTTTGGCACAAAAAGTGCAACTACATCTAAATGTTTATACACGAAAACTAATGGCACTCAAAAAGTTAAATTGTTCAATTTTCGACCGTTTTTTTCCGCAGAAACTACGCTCCCAAATGTACAATATTGATTTTAATCGAAAAGAAAATATGTACGAAGCTAAGTTGCAATGGAGGTTACGCACAAATGTTTTATATTTAATGTTAAATTTATGAATCTCAAAAGTGTCAATGTTAGATTTTTTGACTGTTCCAAAAAATTTTTCTCGAAAACTTTCATCGCAAATCTGAAACTTTGAATTCCACGGTGAGAATAGTTTGTGGAAAACTCCTTGAATAGTGGCTGTGGAAATTATTTTTTCCAAAAAAAACTTGTCTTCTGATAATCATATTTATGACTTTTTGACCGTTTTTGAAACTTTTTGACTTTTCTCAAAAATTAATCTCCCAAATCAGAAGAACTCGAAACGGACCCATCGTCACTCAATCTGGCTTTAATAGAAAAACTGTGTGAATTAGGTCCTACTAGATAAGAAGCGAAATGGGATGAAATGCAAAACAAAGATTGTCGAGACAATTTTTGAGCAGATTCTAAAAACGTTTTCTTTCCACATACTTGTTGCTCTAAACATAAAAAACATGGAAAAGAGAGCCAAGATTGGACTTTGCGGAGTTGAAGATTCACCAAAAAAGTAAGTCTCTGCATTAAAAAATTTTTGTTGTTACGATAAAAGGATCAAAATGAAAGTTTAGCAAGAAAGACTAGAATTTAGCAAGAAAGACTGAACATTAGAATTATCTAAATATCGGCCGATGGCAAAATAGTTTTTGATGAGGCAAAAAAAATAAATTAAAGTAATAGAGTATTGAAACGATTACTTTTACTGTTGCAATTTATAACTAAACTACGAAAAGACTATAAGCTATTTCTACCCTAAAAGGGAAACTGAATGTGATGGATTACATACTTAACTTCTGAATGTGTCAAAAAAAATAGTTAAGTAAATCGTATTTGATGCAGTAAAATCATGCGGATATTTTATAGCATTTTTCATATATTGAGTGTCAGCTTACTCTCCAGATAAATTGGCTCCAACTTTTGCTACTAGCGTTAGTCGAAATAAAATCTGAACATTTTTTTGGGTTAGTGAGCGAAAAGCAACTGTTGCACCAGTCCGCGGTTTTTTCTCTGTCTTGAGAAATGTTGATGAATGTGAAAACGACTCTCTCAAATCTGAGTTTTTGTTTTCAATCAAAAAGAGGTTTATGGGAAGCTCCCTTGCTTGAGCGACCACGCCCAAATTTTCTTAGGCAAAAAGAAATAGCCCTCGGAAAAATCAAACTTTCAGTTTTTGACTATTTTTGAAACCTTTTTTTTATCAAGAAAACATCCAAAATTGAGTTTGAAGTTCAACGGATAGAGTAGTTTGTGCAAAGTTCTTCTGCATAAGCATTACTCCAAAATTGCTTACACGAAAACTCTTGCCCTCGGCAAAACCGAAGATTAGATTTTTTTTAAAGTTTTTTCAACCAATTCGACTTTTCTCAAAAACTATTCTCACAAGTCTGAAGTTTTTTCAGTCAAAAAGACGGGTTTTGAAAGCTTCCTTGAATTAGCGACTAGACACAAAAAACTTTATTTAAAGTTTATGAACCTCGAAAAAGTCGTTATTAGATTTTTAACATTTTTGAAACTTTTGACTTTTCTCAGAAAATTCCGTTCCAAATCTGAAAATTTGGGTTTAAAGTTGAGAACAGGTTTTGAGAAGCTCCCTTGCAAAAGTGACTGCGACAGTTCTTTTTTTTCTGAAAAATTTTGTATTCGGAAAAGTCATTTCTGTGATTTTTTTGAACGTTTTTGAAACTTACGCTTTTTCTCAAAAATTAACCCGCCAAATCTGAAGTTTTGAGCTCAATCGAAAACTACACTCTCCAATTGAAATAATCTGGCGACGTCCAAATTTTCTAACAAAAAAGTCATGGCATTCAGAAAAGTCAGTTTTGTTTTATTATGCATTTTTGAAAAATCTTGACTCTTCTCGAAAACTACTCAGCCGAAGTCGATATCAAGGGTTCAAATGAGACAACAGGTTGTGGGAAGCGTCTGTGCATAAGCTACTACCCCTAAAAACTTGTACGAAAAACATTAAGTCCTTAAGAAATTTCTAAAACCTCAGAAAATTTCACTGTAAAATTATTACAGAACAGAAACAACTAAGATTTTGGGTGAAGCTCATTTTTTTAAATTATCGATTTCATCCCGCATCAGTACAACAAAATCAAAAAATATCAAACAGGTACTTCTAGCTTTACCCCCCATATAGACCAAGTTAAGATCTTCCACCCCAGCATTTAATTCGCATTAATTTTGCTAAGAGCTGCATGTAAAATGCTGGACTCTGATTGGCTGAAAATTTGGGGGGATGTTAATTCGGTCCAAGACGTTTTTTTTACAAATTAAATTCTATCAATCTTCAGAAAGTTGCAGAAATCACATTGGATGAGAAAATAAAAAAGATTTAGGAAGACGCGAAAAATTTTATTTTTAACGGACAACAATGCACGTATCAAAGGCATTCACCAACTCAGACCATTCAAAATTTGACAGAAGACAACTCAACCACCAAACAGTTTGAAACTATTAGAAAACTATATCGACCAGCTGCTAATCAATTTGAGAAGAGCATGTCCACCCAATTGCAATTGGAGTACAGCTCCTCGGTAGAATCCCTCATATGCGAAGGACCGAATGCGCGAAAATATCAATCAGCCAATAAGATTTCAGTAATCTAAAATTTGGAAAGAAGCGAACATTTCCAGGGACTCAATACTAACTTTGGCTGAATATAAACACGGCAGAAATATTTTCAAAATTTTCAAATTGTTTTTGGCTGCCGGCGAATTTAAACAATTTTTATATTTCAAGAGTTTCGCTACAAAACAAGCAAAACATTGCTTGATTCAATTCATTTTATTTGAATATGGTAATCGATTCTTACTAAAAATTGACTTTCGGTTAATTTTGTTTTCGGTCCTTCGCCCATGAATAGCCCCCCCCCCCCTCAGCTCCTCAGCTAAGTAATCATCTAATGGTTTACTAAAAGAGTCTCCAATAGGTTATTGTAGGATTACTAAATCTCCCTAATAGGCATCTTTCGGTGTTTAGCCATGTTTACCAACTTCAACTGTACCCAGACTTATTTACTGCCCTCAGCTCTTTGTTCTCTGATCTTAACCGTTGTTGGGTTGGGAACAAAATCAGTTGAAGTCAGCAAAAATGCTTTCGCATTGGTTTTTGAGAACCGACATCCTAGCCAAACATATCCCGATCTGCGCCTGTTTATGCTCATGTAAATTAAAATTTTTGTGCTCTGATATTAAAGCCAATTGGTATAAGTTACTCAGTTGTCTACATTTTAGTATGATTATATAAATAGAAACCCACAGTGTCGTTTCAATTTTGAATCAAGTTACATAAACAAACAGTTTGCTGACAATCAAGCTAAGTCAAGCTCATAATTTATGCAAATTGTTGTCCAATTTAAATGGTTTTATGGGTAATTATATTTTGCATTGAACTTGATTTCTGATATTGCAGAAGTTGAACTATCGGGCCCTTGGTCTTTGTTTTCGAGACTCTTTGAAGCTATTGCATCAAAACACTATTGTTAGTTTCTTCAGTCAGCTGCCTTTCCAGTGGGTCTCCAACCCTTCTCTCATGATCAGACGCTACTTCTCCACGTCAATGCTGCCTACCACTGCGGCCGATGCAGCCAAGGAACAAGCCAAGCAGAAGACGTGCGTGCATTTTTGCCTATTCATCCCCTGCCACCGCTATCTTTCTCAGTACTATTTTTCGATAAATTATACGCAATCATAATATCTGATTTTGTAATAATCTGTAGACCTCCATATCTATTCCATGGTTCTTGACCACTTTATTTCGAAGAACCTATTTAAAAAACTACTTCACTCTATGCCTCTATGTCAAAAAGGATTGGCACAGATTTCGTCCTACTATAGATTTCGTCCTATTTATTTAATTAACAGATTTCGTCCCACACAAATTTCATCCCATGTCCAACATCCTATCATCCCATATCCAAATTTGTGGGACGAAATCTGTGTACGCTTTGAAATGGGACGAGATCTTTCACAGCCGTCAAAAAGCTGGCTAAAAGTTGTTTATTTTTAAAACAAAGTTTGACGGGAAGGAAATTTAGTGCACCTATTGTTTGTGATGATTCAGCGTGGAGTTGAAGAAGGAAGATGTTTTGGTGAGCGTGTGTCTTTACAAACAGGGCGAGTTCTTTCCCAACTGGAGAAGCAGACATTTCGCCCTACTACATGATGGCAGCTTCCAGGTAGAGCTGCTACACTTGTTGGAATGTATCTGCTGCAAGAAAGGTAGATGGGTTCTTGGAAAAATTAATCATATAATAGATGGGTTCCACCATTTTTTTTGGCACGAGCATAAAATACAAGTACACGAATGCGCAAGCTGTTTTTCTTAAGAGATTAATTATAACTTAGGGATACAGGTATCGTACTTCGGTTGCGATTCGATAATATTATTTGCATATGGCGGTGAATGTTATTTTGCTTTACGAGGCCAAACTGTGCACTGGATAGGCGCACAATTTTGTGTCTGCATGTTCCTGGATTCCAGAGACAAATCTATAAACATCCCGGGATGACCAAAAATACTAGTCATACAATTTCCATATATGGAAAAATGCTAGTCATACACTTTTCATGCAATTCCATACGTACAGAAAATTGCATGAAAGGTCTATGATTAGTATTTTTTTCATACATGGAAATTGTATGACTAGCATTTTTCCATAAACCAAAAATGTTGATTTTTTACATTTTAATTTCTCAAAATTTTGTGGTTGTGTTCGTAAACGAACACAAATGACATAAACCTTGATTACTCAAACGTAGTAACCAACGGTTTGGCCTTCTCGCTTTGAAAATGCATTGGAAACAGCCTACTTCTGTCTCAGACAAACAATATAACGAAAGTAATGAACTTTTAAATTTTGGCAATAATTTTCAAAATGTATGATTAGCATTTTCGGTCTATGGAGGTCAACCCGGGATATTCCAAAAAGTAAGTATATTCCGCGTACAAATAGCAGTAACGTAAATTTTGTCGGCATATTTGTTTTGTTGCGGATTACGCAACAAGCAAATATAGCTAGTTATTCTGGATTCCGCAAGTGTAAGTGGATTCCGCAAAACGTAAATGGAATCCGCAAAATGTAAGTGAAATCCGCAAATATAAATGGAATCCTCAAACAAAATAAAGATTCCACTTACAGTTTGCGGATTCCGCTAACAGTTGCCGATTCCACAACAGCTCAATGTAACTATACACATGTCTTATTATTTGTTTGTGAATTCCACAAACTATTCTGGATTCCGCAAATACAGCTGCAGATTTCGCAAGTTTGCCTATTTTTGGAGCGCGTTTGAGTGGTACAATACTTTGAGTATTTGTTTGTGGAATCCAAAATAGCAAAGAATATCAAAGAAAAGTAAAAATGTTGCGGATTGCGCAACAAATCTGACTTTGGCCTGTTGCGGAATCCATTTACAATGCGCAGAATGCACAGTTTGGCCTCGTAATGTGTAACCCCTTCTGCTCTGCGTCACCATAAACACAACCAGAAGCGGATAGCAGGCGGATATTTACTCGTGGTAGCAGCAACTTTAACTAAAGAACTGAACAAAATGGAAAATATTTTAGAAAGTGAAGCTCGACCTATTATCAAAAACGCTGCTTTCTGAGTAAAATTTGTACAAAACTTTGAGTCGTCCCAATTTTCTTCTGCTTTTACGACAATTCATAGAAAGATAATTCATATCAACAAAAAAAAAATTTTCTAGAGATTCGAAATTTCGAAAAAAAAGTCAAATATTTTGTCGGAATTGTTGTTAAGTCAGCCCAACGTAATTTTTTGAGCTTTTTTCAAAACCAGAACGACCTGCTTGACACAAATTTTTGCTCCGCAGACCAGTTTCTTCAAAAAAAGCCAAAAACTTTGTTTTATTTTTGGCCCGGGCTGCTTTCTCAATTATACTGTATAATGGCGCCCAAGTATTGATTGACTATAAATGAATGTCATAAAATAATGCCAGGAAGATTGAGATTAGGGGTAAAAAAATCGTTTGAATTGAATTTTCCCAAAAAAATCTGTTCCAGTTTGATAAAACAGGATTGTTATATTTTTAAATTCAAAATGAGATGATCTGATGAATTTTTTTGATTGTGATGCCAACGAAGTTATCTATTGAAGAAAATATTTTGCCCTTCTTTTATCGAATGAATTTAAGTTTAAAGTGATAAAAAATTACAATGAAGTTAATCCATCGAAAAACAAATCTGAGCATAAACAAGTTTTGAAAACCATGATGAGTAAACGTGCATGTCATTCCTAAACACATAAACAACACTGCTCGATTTAGGGCAACAATTTTCGTTTCAGGGCTAAATTTTCAACATCCTCTTAACGCCAAGAAAATTTTTTGGCGTAGAAAATTTTTTAAAATGTGAAATTTTTGTTTTATATTTGTGATTTGGATGTAATTTATAAAAAAAACAATTGCGTGAATACAATTTAAACAGCCTTTTACGTGTTAATACGAGAACATTTATTGCTCGCTAATTATCACAATGTAGTTTGCAATTGCCAAGGTAGTCCCAAATTTAACCCGCAATAAATTACAACGAATCTGTAGAAAGGTTTTTTTTATTTTGACATCCAATCAACATCTTTCAGATTTTGAATTTTGCCTAATGAAAAATAACCAGAGCGCAAATAATCCTAGTTTTTCTTTTTAAGTCGGGATTAAGATTTTCCGATTCGGCTCTTTTTCCTTTTCTCCCCCACCTGCAAATTTTTATATGTGAAGTTACTGTTCACTTTGTTCGATTGTTATGAAAATTGACAGGGAGACTAATTAGGCCATGACAAACATATTTGGTCTTCATAATTTACCTTGTAAAACCACTCGTTAGACCATAAAATTCATGTTTAAGTGAGGTGGGGGGGGGGGAAAGGAAAAAGAGCCTCCGATTCCAACAAAAATATAATTTATTCGATCGAACTAATATTTTTTTACTAAAACTTTTCATAATCCATTGCAAACATTGACTCCTTGAAATCAAAAATGAAAAGATATTTTACCTCCGATCATTTTCTGCAAAAATTTGGCAGTGTGGAGACTACCAATTTGGCCATGATCTGGATTAATTTATGCGTGTTTTGGAAAAATTATTCAAAAACGTTAGCCGAACTAAATATGCGTTGCAAACTATCCCGCACAAAAAAAATCGAAAATTCTTCCAAATTGAATTGAGGCTAGCTAATTGTCGTATTAATTTTGTACGACTCAGTTTTTCACAATTGATGTTTGATATTGTCCAAAACGTTTAGGTTTTCAATGTTTTTTCCCAAAACTATTCGATATGGATTAAGAGGAAGCCGGAGCATTCAAAGCTTTACCCTGATTTACGAGCAGTTGCACACTTTAATTTTCTGAGGCAGTAAAATGGCTTTGCAATTGGAGCTGATTGCGTTTGAAAGCTCAACAGAGCCTTGTGAAACAATAGGGTTTTTTTCACAGACTTCAAGCCCTCAGTCAAGACACCAAAAAAAAACATGAAATTTTAGCAAAAAGGCAGTCAAAAACTTAAGAGACCTTTTTTGAATTCGTGTCAGTTTGATGGCAGAATTATTTCAAAAAATTTAACACGTCCAATAAGTTTGTTAAGAACTAAATTATGTGAGATTTCCATTGAATCTATCGCGAAAATTTACATGTACTGGACTAAACGAATAGAACTTGACTTTTAAAATGCTTTTTTTTTCTCAAATTGGAATGACCTTAGGCAAACGTTAATCAAATCAAAAAATGTTTAGATTTTGATCGGAAATAATATGGTTTGATTTATTTCGAGCCTAAAGCTTCACCCTAAAAACGGATCACTTTTTTGCTTTTTATGAATAAAAAATTGCGCCAAAACTATCAGTGACAATATGAGACAAAAATATATCAAAATAAGGCTCTTGTGTAGCCAAATAAAATTTTGAAACTGTTTTAAATAAAAAAAATGTCATTTTTATAAAGTATGACGTTTTTATCTATCGTACGAAAATATAGTTATACAAAATTGAGAAGATAACACTATCCGTAAACATTGTTGGGCTAGATAAGAGGCTCCCTTTGACATAGTTTTATCAGCAATTGAGTCGACGGTTAACCCGTAATTTTCAACTGACCAAAAGAGTCAAGTATTCGTTTTTTGGATAACTGTGATCAAATTCTAAGCGGACTTTGTATTCAACAATTTTTGCCTGATTTCAACACAATTCGCGGAAACGGGTTTTGGCTTTTAAGTTTTGGTTTTCGTTTTGTTCGGATAATTTAAAGAAGCACCATACTCATGATACAAAAATAATAGTTGTTTTTATAAATTGCGGCTCAAAATTGGAAGAACATCGTGCGAAACGGATGATTTTGTAAATTAACCAATCAGGTTCAACCTTTATGATCCAAATTTGGCCCGTAGGACAGAAGAACACAAATTCTGCACAAAACTTTCTAAGTGAATCAAATATAACATATTGAAATGAAACTCAGGGCTTCACTCGCAGTCCCATCCCCTCGGAACAGTGCACGTGCAAAGAGCAGACTAAGAAGCCGAACAGAGGAGCTCGCAAACTGAACCACTTCCGAGTGGGCAAGCAGAGTGTGATGGTGCTGGAGACTAGTGGGGACGGGGAGAAAAAAAGTGGGGCTAGTCGTGGGGGCGCAGGAGGGGACAATGTGGATTCTACTGGGTCGAGATACTTTCCTCCTGCAGTGATGTTTTTTTAAGTGTTGGATCTACTTAACAACCTCCTTCACATGCTATCTGATAAGGAATCCCCCTTTATAAATGAAGCATTATGTTACAATAAAATAACATTATAACTTTACAGTGAAAAATCTAATTTTTCTACTTTTTGATTGTTCTATTTGCTGATTTATTCTATTTAACAAACTTGCTTCATGGAAAAAGAACGGGAGCGGGTAGTAAAGTAGATCCAAAGTTTTGCATTGATTATAATCTCTAAATATTTAAATTCCGGCAGGGGCGAATCTAGGATTTTCTCGAGAGGCGAAAGGGGTGCGGATTTTCAAAAAATAATCAAAAATTTTGTCGACCTTTTTTTTAGGTCAAGCAAATTGATTTTCTGAGCTCTCCCAAATCACTATAAAGATCTGATTTTGACCGAATTTTCTGCGCGGCAGGCAAATTTTTCAGAAAAACAGGCTGAAAAAGGTCGGCAATGGGTGGAAGACAGCGTCCTCCTCCTTAAATCCGCTACTGTCAATTTAAAGAGATCAGAGTTGTAACAATTTTGACAGGTTTTGGAGGTTTGTTGTACTTGCTTAGAAGAAATTTTTAAACTAAAAATTCAAAACATTGATTAATCTTGTGCACTGAATGTGCGTTAATCGTCAGTTAACTTTTCCGGTTCAAATCAAATTTTGACTCTTTTCCAAAACCCCCCCCCCCCCCCCCCCCCGGCATCTCTAATTTTCATTTTTTTCTTTGTTGTTTATGACTAAACGCGTGAAGTTATGATGTAAGGTATGAGGAACCGATCTGTTCACAATAGTTTGTTCACCATGCAATTTTTTGTTACATTATGACAACATTAAAATAGTTCGAAACTGAAACTCAAATGTACCGGGAAAGTGGAAACGAGCTGAAGTAATGAACTTTTTAGCGGGTTCTTGAAGGTAACGTTTGTAATAAATTTACTTCAACTTGACTTTCCACAAGTATCTCGACTGTGTTTTGTGGCAACAGTCGATTCCCATTTTACATGGAAGACATCCATCGGGTTGACGATGAAACTATAGTGACTAGACACTTCTACTGCACTTCGCATAGAGACAGATTACAGCTCTACTGGGGAGTGACTGAAGCCAAGAAGATTCTTAGCGCCAAGAGTAACTTCCCAAAAACATCACTTCAAAGCAAGGAAAGTTCAAGTTAAAAACATTTTTCCAGGAGGCAATGCAGACACAAATATACGAGGTGTTTAGCTCTTTACAGAAAACGAATCTAGAGTTGATTGCCTTAATGCAACTTCTGTATTATTTTTATGTGATTTTTCTTATTAGCCCCCGGCCCAGTTCCTTCGGCCTTAGGCCTTTTTTCTTCACATTTTTATGTGCTGTAGCAAAGAGCAATGGACTAGACACTGTAGTAGAATATGGGAGAGATCTCAATTTGTTCATTACATATATTGCACCACCAGCAAGGTGGAAAATATAAAACTAGAGAAGTCTTTTTCTCCCCGCCCGTTTTTATTCAACTTATGGTTGAGCGTAAAGTTTTCCAAGATTGTGTTTAAAAGAATAGTTTTAATTGAGATTAATAGTCCAGGGGCGGATCTAGAGTGTTTTCGAGGTTAGTGATGGATTTTTAAGAAAAACCTTCTTAGATCGACCAAATTGATTTTATGAGCTGCCCCTAATCACTATAAAGACCCCATTTTTACGAAATTTTCTGCGCCGCAAAGACAAAAGGTGCTCCCACCTCAAAATTGGTTGATATTTGCGCCAAAGGTGCCTTTAGAAAATATTTCGGGTCGGTTAGCCAAATTATATCTCTCAAAATAGTACCAAAGGGGGACCCTTTGGGTCGGCAGGGGGTCTACTTCCTGGACGATAAGACGGCCCTCCTATATCTGTTTTTGAGCACCTAAAAGGGACCCTTGAAGCATCAATAAAAAGAAGATTTTTGCAACGGAACTGTGCGACAGAAAATTTGGAGGTTTGGTTTGATTTGAGGTGTGTTTATACCAGGATAACCAGAGACAGTCGGTATCGGTGCTAGATGGCGAGGCCGTGAAGCGGAGTCGCATCAGGGAGGAGGAGTATCGCAAGATAGGCGTGGTCGGCAGTGGCTCCTATGGCAAGGTCTATCTGGCGGAGGAGATCGCAACCAGTCGCATTGTTGCACTCAAGGTTATTTCTAAACTTCAAATAACCCTCTTAGATCACTTTAAATACATATCATTAAAATTAACATCTCTAGACTTTTTGAATGTATTAAAATTGTAAAATGAAACTTGAAAAACTCTTTTCAAGATTCTGGAGAAGCAGCGACTGCGCAGGAAAGACTTCAAACTGAAACATGTCTTGAGCGAGTCACACATTGCGAGACAGGTGGACCACCCATTCATAGCCAGGCAATTCGGGGCCGGCCAGACGCCGGAGTTGTTCATGTTTGTGATGGAGTTCGTACCAGGGGGAGAGTTGTACACTTTTCTGCATAGGAATAGAATCAATAATCCGTTTCATAGCCCACTCCTGATGGAACCAGCCATTCAACAGGTAAAATGGAAGAAAAAATTTGAAGAACTCAGAAATTAAAAAAAAAATGAACCGAATAATAAAATGAAGAAATGACAAATACTTGAAGACACTAAAATATAGTTTCTGAAGTAGGACAATCTGCAGATTCAACGCGAAACCATTCAAAGCTAAAGTAAGATCAGAAGTGAAATACTTGGGTTCTGGGTCTCGAAAAACATTGAAATGAGGTCTATACTGTTTGATTTGATTAGATTTATATCTGAGTGACCTGACTCATTCGATTAGAATTTTTTTTTACTGAGAGCTCAGCTTGTAATAGTGCTTAAGGGTTCACGATAGACTGTTGCAAGGGTTTAATTGGTTAACAGGTGATGGCGATGATAGCAAGTGCAGTGGAGTATCTTCACAGCAAGAGCATCGTGTACCGAGACATGAAGCTGGAGAATCTGATGTTGGACGAGTGGGGATACGTCAAGATCATCGACTTCGGCATCTCCCGCGAGATATACGGGGGCAGAGAGGGAAGGGCGGGCACCTTCTGTGGGACTGCCCAGTACATCGCGCCCGAAATCATCATATGCGACCAACATGTATTGCTTCGTATTTATCCTCCAACAGTTGCATTATAATTTGTATTGATAAACGAAAACCCAATTTGAAAAACATTAATTCGTCTTAGCGAACCTGGTAGTAATCGTATTCTGATTATTGTGTTTGATAAGGGTAAAGAACAAATGAAAAAATTTAGAAAAAAAGTCGATCCTCCGCAAGGCACTTGAATCGGGATTAACAACTTAGTTATGCCATGAAACCTTGCATATTGAAACCTAAATTATCACTAAGGCATGGCTGTTTGATGACTGAGCATTGCTACGTTAGGTCATTTCATCCTAATTTTTTTGTGCCAAATTGCGACGGATTCGCTTTTTTGCTTAAATCTCTTAATTGTTTTTTCTCGAACAATTATGGCGTTCGACAACTTGTCGCCCCAGCTTTATCTTCTTTCATTTAAGGGAGACAATGATGACGACAGTGTGGGGGATCAGGACGTGGGCTATGGGGTCGAGATAGACTGGTGGACTCTGGGTATTGTAGCCTACGAACTCATCTACAAGGGAACCCCTTTTGAGATACCCGCCGCCCAGAGCAAGCAGTACAGCAAAGCTATGGGACAGAACATCCTGTTCAACCGCATACGAACCGCAGAACCGAAACTGAGTCCGAGCTTCGTCATTGGACAGCAAATTTTTACAGTGAGTCCATTACTCAGTAGTTTTGTCAGAGGTCTTCTTGAAAAGGACCCCTCGACTCGACTTGGAGATGACACGGTTCTGAATCACCCGTTTCTGCAGGCCATAGACATGGAAAAATTAAAAGCGCGTGAGATCAAGTCGTACATATCAGTAGAGCCATTCAATCGGAACAAATTGTCCAAATATATCCAAAAAGACAAGTCAAGCCAAAATCAACTCCAGCATAATTCGGTCCAAAAAACAATTCCAGAGGAGAATCTGGCAGGATTTTCATACGCGCAGCCAGGATACAATTTTACTTGAGTCCAGACTTAATTCAAATGATGTTCTAAAATATTAAATTGAAATTGTTTTAATATCCTAGAACAAGATGATTTATTTTCAGGTTTAATTTTGATTTTTCTTTGATGATATGTTGGCTTTTATTTTTTATGAAACCGTTCAAAGAAAGAATTTTTTATAAATGTCTAGCTTAAAAAGCGTTGCACCTGCTGCGAAAAATTCTTTAATGAAAATTTCTAATATTTGGAATTATATCTTGAAAAAAAAACATCAAATCATCGCGCACTTTTATATAATCAGTTGAAGCGATTTCACAGCACTTTAGGTCGACATCATTACGACTATATTTGAAAAAAAAGTTTGGTAAAATGGGCTAGCTAAAAACCGTTTAATAGTATTTAAAAGCCCTTCCAAGGTTTTCAAAATTCACAGAACATTTTTCTGGACGTCAAAATTATATTTATAAAAAAAACACTACACCATTTTCTAGAAAAAACGAGAAAGTTTAACAACAAATCCTCAAATATAATAGCACAACTATGTTTTAGTCACTTGCCAACTTTTTTTCATAACGCTCATCGTAACACCACAACCCGCAAAAAAAGACAACTCGTATAAAATAGCAATTACGACAACTAGCAAAACGCGATAACTCGCAATAAACACGTAATTAATCTTTTACTTAATCCTAAACTAAGTACTGTAATCCCCCACCAGTTATCAGTTAATTTTCTTACTTAATTCAAAAACAATTATTATGGAAACATATGAGCTTCTTTTGGTTCTTGTAACACCAAAAATTGAGTCCGAAACCTTGATTGCATTTCTTGGTGTATTATCACTTTGGTTTTAAATATGTTTCTACTCATTCAAACAAAATTACAATTTATTACAAATCAGCGCGGATAACGACATCTGATCTTTGAAGAAGAAGAAGCTAATGAATTTCGATTTATTGAAATAAACGGATTAACAACTTGAAGACACTCAAAACGAATTTGCAAATCACTCTGCCTAAGAATTTGAGTAAAAAAACTTGGATCATTTACATTTGAAGTTGCATGAAAGAGAAGTTGAAAGGTAGATTTTCTATACGTGTCCTAACTTCTGCGCAATTTTACATTTTATAATTTCAAAAATTTAAATTCAAAACTTTTTTTAAAAAAAAGCATGACCGCTTAAAAAGTTAAATTCAAAACTTTATTTAAAAAAAGCAAAACAAGCTTAGCAGTTAAAAATGAACGGGAGAATGTACGAAAAAACAAACTTTGAGAGAAATTGTTAATGATTTCGAAAAAATGGAAATCTGTTTTCATATTGAAATTCACCAGAACGACTGTAAAAGGGTACTTTTTATTTTGTGCAGGTCAAATGGCGGAAAATACAAAAATTTAAATTAGCGGATGAACACCGGAAAGGCAATGACTTAAGAAAAAAGTAAAATCCGTTTTTGCGCTGGTTCTCATTCCTGAATCCGACTTGAAGTTGGCACTAGAAGCTCTCTGCGAAAGAACAACTGAGAATGAGCAGCTCCGATCATATCTCGATTACTTTGAAAAAACGTAGACGGGGGAATATGTACGAGAAAATTTACGAAAAATCCAGGTTTCAAAACAGCCATTTGAAGTCAGTTCAGCAATGCGATAAAAGTAAATCGAAAAACCAACATTTCGCAGAGTTTTCAATTAGGAAAGGGTTATTCTTGCCCATTGTATCAATATTGATTCAGCAAAAAAAGAAGGAGCAAAATTTCACCAAAATTTTTCTGATTTGATTCAAATCCGGAGAAAAGCCTTGCAAATGTCCTTAATATGAACAATTGCAGCAAAGGATGTCAGAAACTCTTAAACACTATCAAAACATTGATCTTATTTTGCTGCTGGAAGCTCTTTCATTTAACTTTGAATAGTAAAAATCTTTATACCAAAGAAGTTTTGACTCCTCAAAAGTTTTAATGTTTCACCGCTTTTTTGTTTCACGTTTAGATTAAGGAAAACTTAATTTTTCCGAGTTTTATAGTAGTGGTCTGTTTTTTCGAGTCTTTTTTTTTAAAATTTTGAGAGTTGTTTTTTCACGCACGTTGTCGCGGTACCAACTCTTAATTTTCATTTTTTAATTTTAAAAACAAAGACTGTTGGAAAAGAATAGTGAACGCTATGAAACAAAAAAAATGACTTGATCTTAAAAACTCAACTTTCAAATTTCCAAGGAAAAATCGACGCCATTAAAGCTCTTTAAACTTCTGGAACAAAACTTTTGGATCAAATTAACCCAAATTGAAAAAACTTGATCAATAATTTAAATTTTTACTGCGCAGTGAAATCTGATAAATAATCTTCAACGTTAGAAGTAGATCATGTTTTTTATGAATTATACCTTTTTGCTGTTCAAAAGTGGAGTTTGCTTTCCTTTTGAGGCAAACTTTGCTTAAGTTAATCCAATTTAACTAGATCAATAGGTGAACTTTTTAGTACGCTGGGAAATCTAATAATTAAATTCCAGTTTCAAATTTAGAAGTCGATCTCGTTTTTTGTGAAATTTTTTTTTTCTGTTCAAAAGTGTAGTTTGCTTTTCATTTAACAAAGAAAGGAAGTATGAAAAATTTTAAAAAATCAAAAGTCAAACCGCGAAAAATCAAAACTGAGCGTGAATAAATCTTAAAACTTTTCCTGAAAAAAAAGTTACTCACTACGTTCATCACTCTTAAACAAAACAAAAAAAATCAACAAGACATGTATAAAAATGCGATTTAATAGTTCATTACTCTTGAAAATAAATGTTCCACTAAAACTTGATTTTATGTAACGCATTTTTGACTTATTTGCGTTCCTGAAACAACGGGAAAATGCAACGTTCAAAAAAAAAATTGTTTTTTGAAAACGTAGTTTTTAAATCCATTGATAAAGAAATAGCTCAAGCAAAAACCCTAGAAATATTTTTCAAATGCCATTAAAAAATCGGCCTAAATTTGCAAAAAATATATATGTTTTTTTGACGAAATGAAAAAAAAATGAATATAATCATTCCTAGTCCAACTGTTTATATTTTTTTTATTGGTAAAAAGTACAATTTCCGGATAAAAAAAGATTGCCCATGACAATCTTAAAACGTCTCTCACAGGCTTTTTATGAAAAATGAGGTTTTCAGACCTTTATTGTATTTACAACATTGTTTATTTACAGGAGAAATTTATACAGAGGAAATTATTAGCAAGTTAAAAGATAGTTTCGTAAAAATAATTTTGATGAAAGCAGCACAATTAGACTCAAATTAGTAATGATATGATATGTAGTCAACTGAAACCATGTGAACGCAGGAGTTTATTTGAGTAGCAGAAGTTGAAGAACTGTAAATATTCTACATTTTCCCTGTCACCATAAAGAGTGCAGATGGACAGTGTATGCTTCTGCCATTTATGAAGTGCTTTCCAAGAAGATAAGTTGATCCACTTGGAAGTTGTCTTCCGAGACCGAATGAATCTTCATAAGGTCCTCCATAATCATAGCTTCATTAGAACTTCTTTGCCGCGCCTGAAACAGGAATAACCCAATTCTTGGCTCAAAAGCTTTTTTTCCATTGCTTTTTTCAGAAATTATGGTAGGTTGCTCTGATTTTTAAATTTATATAGAGCTTCAAAAAACCTTGCACTTTATTTTCAGCTATATTAACTAGACTGAAAGATATAATATGCGTACTGTGAGTAGATAGTTGTACACTTTGTGGAAGTTTTTCAGTCCCATTTTGGAGATGCATTCGCTCCGCATCTTCTCCATCTTCTTGGCCTTGACAGAGGGAGAGTAGGCGTCCACGAAGAGGAGGGGTCTGTTGTCTGGATTTTTACTGTTCCCTCGCCCATCTCTTGCTTCTTCCTGTCCTTGCTCGTCTTCTGGAGGGAACTGCACAAATCAAAATTTCGTTAATTTCTATTTAAGTAAAGGATCTCTGGCCTATGTTTTTACCCTTGCGATAAGCAAGGGTATTGCAGTTGTGTACAATATATTTTTTCCCGTAAACAATTTTGTTCACAGGAATCATCTCTAGTGGACATCTGGACGCATCTCTAGCGGTACCTTGTTTCATAATTAATTCAAATTCTTAGAGTTTTTAGCCTACTTAGCTTGGAAGTAACGAATACTCCAAGTAGGGATAGGATAGTCTTTCATTTTTCTATCGCAAATGGTGCGAAGCTCTGATTCGCCTCTGTGTTTGGAAATTGAGCAGGCCGCTCTTAAAAAAGCATTTTCAAAAAGATAAGATATTATTCTGTGAGCAAAAACTAAGAAACTCGCACAATATTAACACTCTTCGTGAACTACTTGTCATCGAGGTGGAGAATCCTTCCAAAAAATCCAATAAACTTGCATAAATGTTGGATCTCAGTCCAGCAGAATTAGATAGGTTCCCTTTTTATGGAATTACTCAGCGTGTCAAAATGATTGAAAAAACTTTATATCAAAGATATTGAAGAAAAAAAAGGAGATTTGCTTTTTCTAATTCTTTCCCTAAGCTATGCTTTCGTATAGGACTAAATATTGAACTAAAATCATATGTTCAGAAATCTCAAGGCATGTGTTTCATATTGAACTAAAATCACATGATCAGAAATCTAAAGGCCGTAATTCACAATGAAGCCACACGCCAAAACGGCCAACCATTGGGGTGTGGCTTCATCATTTTTTTTACGTTAGCAACCTTTTACTTTTCATGACATACAGATGTTAACATAATGAACCATGTTTATTACACAAACACAACTTTTTACTGTTCCGACAATTTCACGAAGCAAAAGGAAGAAAATTCTTTTGGTGCAACTTTAGATGCCTCATGAAACCTCGTAGATTGTCAAGTGTGGTGTCACCTTGAAGCCTAGCTTATTTATGATTCCATTTTTTTTGGACTAAATGACACAAAATTTACAAACGATAAGTTGAAAGACTGAATGAACCATTGAACTCTACAGGAACGTTAAAACTATTGAAGCTATTATAAAACCTTATTTTTTCTATCTAATTTAAAGATTCCTTTCAAGATTTTATCTATTTTTTCTCAATGGTTGTCTGATCAAGTAAGGTCGGCCTTTAGGCCACTGCGTAAACCATAGCTACGATACTTATTTAACATTCCATAGTGCTACTTGACAAAAAAAAGTTATTCACGACAAACTGCAACAAATATATGAAAATTATTGAAGATCTAGTCATTTTTTAATTTTTTTTTCGACAGCGTCTTTCGTTTCATTTAAAACCTAGTTAATTTGTGGTACTTTGTTTGTATATTATCGCAAGTGGAGCGAAGCTCTTCTTCGCCTCTGTCCTAAGACTGTTACTAACTGACAGTTGGAAAAGCCGCAATGAACTCGAAGAAACATAAAATCTACTGATTTCCAAGACTTTTTCATGCGCGTTTCATATAACCTTAAAGCCAATTCATTTTTGAAAAAAAATGGCTCCTTTCTTTCTCTCCCACCATCACATTGGCACTATTTTATAGTACGGATGCCATTTTTTGTTGCAATAGGAAAATCTGAGCAGAGAAATTTCTTATGAACTTTGCAGATTGGGGGAGGTGGAATAAGAGCTTAAAAACTTGTCGATTAGCAGATTCGCATAGTTTAACTCAACCAAGGTTGATGAAACGAATAAATTTTTATTTGCAACTCAGCCGGCAATTCTAGGCTTCAATTTATTTTTGCATAAGTTTAAACAAAAAATATACAAAATTTAGGACCAACTCGACTTTCGTTATCGAAAAAAAAACTAAATTTGAGTAAACCAATTTGAATAGCGAATTGTAACTAAAATTTTTTAAAAAATTGCTGAAAAAGAAAAACAAGCGTGAACAAATTAACACAATAGCGAAGCTTCGCTTCGCAAACACTAGCGAAACACGACAAAAAACCTTAAGTGCAATTGTTAAAATTAGAAATGAGCCTCGAATTAGTAAAAACTCAGCAACCTCTGAGCTTCGAACCTGCGACCAAAAAATTTAGACTCTCACACATTCAACACTCAGCCACGGAAGATTAAGTTAAACCAAACAACAGCCACAACAAATAGAGCAGAGAACAGATGCTATGCAGTTTCCAATGCTACAGTGAAATTTTCAAATAAAGGAACAGTTTTATTGAACAATTTTATTTGCGAGTTAAGTTAGAGAAAAAAGAAGGTTTGTAATAACACATTATGCTGATCGCAAAATTAAAAGAATCAAACAACCTTATTATAGGACCTTTCTACACGAAAATTATTTGCGCGTTTCATATAACCTTAAAGCCAATTCATTTTTGAAAAAAAAATGGCTCCTTTCTTTCTCTCCCACCATCACATTGGCACTATTTTATAGAACGGATGCCATTTTTTGTTGCAATAGGAAAATCTGAGCAGAGAAATTTCTTATGAACTTTGCAGATTGGGGGAGGTGGAATAAGAGCTTAAAAACTTGTCGATTAGCAGATTCGCATAGTTTAACTCAACCAAGGTTGATGAATAGAATAAATTTTTATTTGCAACTCAGCCGGCAATTCTAGGCTTCAATTTATTTTTGCATAAGTTTAAACAAAAAACATACAAAATTTAGGACCAACTCGACTTTCGTTATCGAAAAAAAAACTAAGTTTGAGTAAACCAATTTGAATAGCGAATTGTAACCGAATTTTTTTAAAAAAAATTGCTGAAAAAGAAAAACAAGCGTGAACAATTTAACACAAAAGCGAAGCTTCGCTTCGCAAACACTAGCGAAACACGACAAAAAACGTTAAGTGCAATTGTTAAAATTAGAAATGAGCCTCGAATTAGTAAAAACTCAGCAACCTCTGAGCTTCGAACCTGCGACCAAAAAATTTAGACTCTCACACATTCAACACTCAGCCACGGAAGATTAAGTTAAACCAAACAACAGCCACAACAAATAGAGCAGAGAACAGATGCTATGCAGTTTCCAATGCTACAGTGAAATTTTCAAATAACGGAACAGTTTTATTGAACAATTTTATTTGCGAGTTAAGTTAGAGAAAAAAGAAGGTTTGTAATAACACATTATGCTGATCGCAAAATTAAAAGAATCAAACAACCTTATTATAGGACCTTTCTACACGAAAATTATTTGATCAAGTTGCTCGATTGTTATTAGTTTAAATAAAAATAAGCAAGGATATTGAAGCAAGGATAAGCAAGGATATTGAAATCGGGTACCAGACTTTTTCCCGTAACTAGTTTTTTTTTCACAAGATTTTTGATTCACAGGATCTCCACTTCTAGAGGATCTCCACTTCTGGCCAAGTTGCACTTTTAAAAGCATTTTCAAGTACATTTCGGTCTAGAGCTGAACAAATGCTTCATCGATTTGAATGCTTTATCGATTTCATCCAAACTTTTAACGGCTTGTTTGCCTAGTGTTTTATTTTAACATGATTTTAAATAATTTTTTTATTACCTTTTCGATTCCATTTGAAGAAAGTTAATATACTTTATACGTCTTTCGCTTTTATATACGCGAAATATTTTCAGTTTTAATGATTTTTGAAAAGAAATTGCCTTGATTTTCAAGTGTTTTCGGACACGTTTTCTGATTTAATTTTTTCTCAAAGGGTGTGCAATTGCCTTCAATCATCTTAGTGTCATTAGTAGGTTTAAGCAATTTTTTTAAGGTGATGATGGTACAGCGTATTATTCAAATGTCTAAAAGTGTTCACAAAAAATCTTAAATTTTCAAAAAAAATTTTGGTGGCACTTTAATGTGACTTAGAGATCAAGATTCAAGATTGTTGTGGTTTCTGGCTGAACTTTTTTAAATTTCTGTTTTTTGTTACTTTTTCATTACTGTTTTTGTCCTTCGGGTGTTTTTTTATATTACCTATTTTTTATTGTGATTCGGCTCTCTTATTGTTGCGTATTATATTCTTATTTGATGAGATTAATGTCATAAAGTTCATTTAATAAGTCTTTTCGGCAATAATGAAGTAGTAGTTTCATTTTCGGTGTTTAAAGGATTTCGGGAAATTCTTTTCTGCGGCAATTACTGGTAAATTTTGTATTCAAGTTTTTTAAATATTCCATTTCTAATTTTGTAATTTGACTTCGTTTTTAGTTTAAAGCAAATCTTTGATAATGCTTTTTGATAACCCCGTATGTTTCTAATAGTCAAGCTGTTTGTTTGGTTCCAAGATCTTTAGCAAATTTGGCGAGTTTTTGGATCATTCATTTTTGCCCGAAGCTTAACTTTTCACTATCATCTATTAAAAAGAAATGAATGAAGTTTGAGGCGCATGAATTGCTTTCAAGTTATCGGCATTTTTTTAAATTAAAAAATGCAAAAGAAATTTTCCAGCCAAGGATTTCTTCAAAAGGATTCATTTATTTATTTCATTTTTCGGCTCTTTTTCCTTTTCCCCCCACCTCACTCAAACATAAATTTTATGGTATAACGAGTGATTTTACAAGGTTAATTATTACGACCAAATATGTTTGTCATGGCCTAATTAGTCTGCATCTTAATTTTCCTGACAATCTGACGAAGTGAACAGTAACTTCAAATAAAAAAAATTGCAGGTGGGGGGAAAGGAAAAAGAGCCCATTTTTCGTATGAGAAAGATTGATTTTCTAACTTCAAAATGTTGTAGTTAATTTTGTATCCCAAGAGGTGCGAAGCAAGAGGAGGAACTGGCTCTTTTTTCGTCCAATTGCCCTATGAACAACTTTCAAACAACTTCCGGCTCTTTTCCAGTTTCCCCCCTTTCAAAATACCGAGTTTTATGTTTGTTTTACGTGTTATTACGGCTAAATGCGTGATGTTACGCTGTAAAGTATGAAGAACAAATTTGTTCACAATTGTCGATTTGTTCACCGCGCCAAATTTCATTGCAATATGACAATGCTATATAACCTTTTCAAAATTGATTTTGAAAGGGGGGAACTGGAAAAGAGCCCAACTTCCTACCGTAATTTTACGAGAAGGAAACTGGAGTAAATCCTAATTGAAGATACCAGTAAGAAAAAGTGAACAAAACGAACAACTTTTCCAAGATGCTAGTAGCAGTAAAATCAGTTCTCAGACATTTTTATCGGTTTAAGAGGGGATGGTAAACTGAAAAGAGCCAAGCGGTCTACTCACATCTGAATCGTAGTCCGGATCCATTTCTGGGTCGGATGCAATATAGTCCTCGAAATCATCCTCATAGTCATACTCCAGCTGCATCTCGTTCCCATTGCCTCCATCCGCCTCGTCCCCACCCCGAGCTAAAATTAACAACATTGTGGAAAATATGCAAGACGAACACACTGATATATAAACTGAAAACAAACAGAGACTCTTTTCCACCCCCCATTTGAATTTCAAGTTTTAAAAACAATTATAACGTTGCCATAATGCAATGAACTTTTGTGTGGTGAACAGACTAACAATTGTGAAATGAACTGGTTTCCATATTCTTCACATCAAACTTCAAACCGATATACAAGCGTGAATCGAAATGCTTTTGCCGATATAAAACGAGGATAGCCGGTCGCTTTTTTCCAGTTTCCCACCCCCTCTTGAAATTACACAATTGAACTGTTCAAAAATTGTTCACACGGCATTTTGCATGCAAATGTTATAATAATTTGTGCACCTGTTCACGCTGAAACGTTCACGTTTTGATGCAGTTTATAGCAAGAAAAGTAATTTTAAATAGACTTTTTGACTTTCAGAAAAAATCAAAGGGGGAACTGGAAAATTGTCGTTTTTTCTTAGTCGTGCGATAAAAGGATCTGAACAAAAAACTACAATTTAGGCATATTCGACATTCATAGTAAAACAGGCAAACTGGGCAACGGTTGTTGAAGAAAATTGACTAAAAAAACATAAACAAGATTTTGATTCCCAAAATGGCGTTAAAAAACTCCACAAAAAATTATTTTAAAGGAATAAAACGAAAATTGAGCATAGATAAGCTATTTTAAACGGCCTAAATTAAGCATAAATAAGCATGCTTGCTCGCTCGAAATAAGACGAAAAATCAAAAATTTAAAACCGGTTTTTCTCAATCGTGGAAAAGTTTGTTGGAAAATTTTTAATGTCGTTCAAATTACGACTGAACGATTATTTGTGGTACCTTTTTTAGCGTGGAAAACAAAAAGAAGTAACAAGGAAAAAAATTAAAACACACCCAGAACAAATATGAGTCTCATTTTTAGGGGTGATTTTGTAGCTGGGTTCTTTTCTTGCCACCAATTTTCCCCTAGTATATGAAATTAATCTGTCACGCGTTTTCAAAAACAATAGCATCGGAAAATTAATGCGTATAAATTAGGAGAAGGTCTACTGCGACTCGGCTCTTTTCCTTCCACTTCCCCAACTGTCAAATTTTCTGCTTTTTTGTTGCTTATAGGCTAATTATCGCTAAATGTAAAGTACTAAGAACAAATCTGTTCACAATTGTTCGGGGCGGATCTAGGATTTTCTCGAGGGGGGGGGGGGGGGCGATTGGGTTCTATTTTCAAAAAATTTCGAAAATTTTGTCTACCTTTTTTTTGGTTCAACCAAATTGATTTTTCGAATTCTCGCAAAGCACAAAAAAAGATCCTGTTTTGGCCAAATTATTGCAAAATTTTGAAAAAAGGCAAAATTTTGGCTCTTTTCTAGTTTCCCACCCCCTCGTAAAAGTACAAACGGCAATTTGCATGTTAGAAATGTTGCAGAAATTTGTTCACCTGTTCAAGCTGACACGTTTTAATGCAGTTTATAACAACAAAAGTCATTTTAAATAGACTTTCATTTAACGGATTTTGAAAAGAGCCAAAATTTTGAAAAGAGCCAAACTGGAAAAGAGCCAAAATTTTGACCCAAAATTGGCGACTAAGGCGCCTTTAGAAAAATTTTAGGGTCCCTTACCAAAAATTTATATCTCAAAATGGCTCTTTTTCCTTCCTTCCCCCCCCCCCCCCCCACCTCACACGAGCTTCAATATATTAGTGTAACGAGTCGTTTTACGAGTTTGAGTATGAAGACCAAATATGTTTGCCATGGCCTAATTAGTCTGCATGTCAATTTTCATGACAATTGGACAATGTGGTCAACAAATTTACATGTAAAAATTTGCAGGTGGGGGGAAAAGGAAAAAGAGCCCTCAAAATAGTACAAAGGGGTATCCTTTGTCTCGGCAGGGGGTCGAATCCCTGAGGGGGTCGAATCCATAAACCCTACCCTGCAATTGTCGGTTTGTTCACCATGCCAAGTTTTGTTGCATTAAAACAACGTTGAAGTAGTTATTCAAAAAAGAAAGGCAAAGTCGGGGGAGTGGAGAAGAGCCCGCTACTTTTAATTTAAGATCTCAAATTTTCTCAGCTTACTTTTGTAAAAAAAAACCTCACCGAATGCCATTTGAGTCAGAATTGTAACACAAAGCCGACAGTTCGGCTGGCCAATTGGAACAAAAATCTCTCCATGGTCATCCAGAAAAACAACGAGACAACTATCCAGAAGTAGAGGAAAAACATAAATGCAATTATCCAGTGTGGGCTGTTGGGTAAAACCAAAGTTATCATTCTGGCTCTTTCAGGTGGCGAAAAGGTGAACTGAATGCTCAATAAACAAAAAACAAAGGCATCAAGACTGGAATGAACGATACACGTGCGTTCTAAAATAATCCTATTCAGCTTTTCGGTTTTCTTACAATCGATGCGAAAAAGTATGATATCAAAAAAATGCACAAGTCACGTCTACAGGTATCATCAATATCATGAACATTTCTTGCATGCAAAAATTTTTGACACAGGCGAAATTGCACTTCGCATACACAAGCAAAAATATGACCGATAACGCTACTGTGAAAAACTTAATGAGTAAAACTTTGAGTCTAAAAAACTCTTAAGAGACGCACGCCAATCATGACGCATTAGCAGTACCAGTTAATTTGAAAAAAAAAACAACTAACATGCCTCAATTTATAGAGCAAAAATAACCTGAAAAAAATAAATGTAACAGAAATAAAATGAAAATTTTTCTAAAATAGTTTGAGATTTTTTGTAAAAAGGATCCCCCACGCGCCATATTAAGTACAAAAAGATAAATTTCGCTCCTAGTAACAAATCAATTATGGCAAATAAGTTTACTTCAACCAATTTGGAACGATTTCTAAGACGGATTAAATCTCCACTTATGCGTTAATAGCGCGAAATATATCGCGCGTTAGTTGTCCCAAATTGGAAATATTAAACTTCCATAACTTTATAAAAAATAAAAACAGGTGAAATATCTTTCTAATTTTATGCTCAAGACAACAATACTTTTTGAATGACATAAAAAATTCCGTCAAAAATGGCTAGTTAAAAAGTCGAAACTTGTCGGAAGAAAAAAAAAACCACTCCGAGCACAAATATTCCGTTACTTTCGTTACGAAAGTCGAAACAATAATAGTCTGTGTGAAAATCCTTAGCATTGGCTGTATTTAATAGCTGGTTATTGATAAAAATGAACACTTTCAAAATGAACACATTTTATCGCAACAATATTTGCGTCACAACAATATTTGCGACTGAGGTTGGAAAAAAAAAGATAATTCTTACTATAACACAAGCATTGCTTGTGTAAACACGTTTTTTTAGTAATTTTTTAGTAATTTTTTCAACTATGAACGTTGAAAAACAGAACTCTGTTTTTGGTCAAGAGAATAGTATAGAAATAAAACTATTTATAGAAAAAACATAGCCAATAGACACTTGGAAAAAAGTCAATGAACGCAAGATAACAAAAAAATTTTGTCTTGTTTGTTGAAAAAATTTTAACTTTTGACATTCGAAGAAAAAAAACTCTAACGCACTTTGAATATCTAGAGCAATTAAATGTTTTCATTTTAACAATTTAACCATTTTGAAAAAACTGGATCAAAAATTTTTTTTATTTCATTGGAAATCTGAAAATTAAAATCCAATTTTGATACTAGAAGTCGATCTTTACATTTTTGCGTTCACTGCGTTCATCGACTCTTAGAAAAATTACAAAAACATGCCAGGTATCTTGGAATTTCGATAGACAAAAATGTAACTTCAGCTGAGTTGAAATGTTAGAGCAAAATGGTTGTTGAAATCAAATCAATATACTGCCGGGGGCATAAATATGTTTTTCAAAACATTCGTAAACATTTAGTTATTTATGTTTTAGCTCCGCATTTTACCAAAATCCACTATTATCGCAAAATAACAAAAAACATAGACAAATTAACTATGGAAAAAAATGAGCCATTTTAAGAGAAATTGTGAACATGGACGCCATCTAATTCTCACGTTTAAAGTTTTACTAGCCGAACTATGCATTGCATAGCATAGCCTAAGTAGAAAATGCGATTTGGCAAATATTTTCAAAATAAAGGAAATTGGTAGGGCGTTAGTCTATAACAGAGTACCTGCAAAAACAAACGACACAAAAAAATCAATTCTTAATGAATTGGGGGGATGAATCTGTGGCAAATAATAGTTGTAGTAGCAACAGGAACATTTTAAACTCGAAGCTGAGGAACGTTGAATCATAACAAAATCTTAATTTTGAACTTCAAAAGTTGTTGATAGACAGACACGAACAATGTCTTATTGGTAGACCCATTGCTTCATTTCGAAATTTTTCTAAATATTTAATATTAGTACTGATTTATTGTTCCGACTTTCGAAGAAACTGACGGAGGATTTGTGCTTGGGGTAGTTTTTTTTCTGCAGAACAATTTCGAAATTTTACCTAGCTATTTTCGACAAGACTTTTTATATCACCCGGAAGAAATTGTTTTCCTGTTCTCAAAAAAAAAAGATAATTCATCTATGACCATTTTTCTTTTAAAAAATGGAGGCTTAAAGATTACAAGTTTGGTCAATTTGGGATAAATAACGCGCGATATAATTCAAACTGTTAGAGCGGAAGTGAAGATTCAGTCCGTCCTAGATATCGTTCCAAACTGAATTGAGGCATGGAACTTTATTTAACACTTGCCTATTTGCGCAATAAATCACTTAATTCTTATAATGGCGTGAGGGTAGATAGTTTTTAAAAAAACCTCGAAAAAAATTCACTTAGTAGCAAGATGTATATACAACCTAGTGTTTCTTTTGAAATTACTCTAAAGTTTCGTTTCTGTAAAAGAAAATCGAGGGAAAAAAGAAGAAGCTCTTTCCCACGGCCAATCACAACAATCAATTGGCTTGTCATAATTATTATAAAATTAGCAAATATCATCATTGACTTATGGTTTAATTTTGCAATGACGAAGTGGCCAATTTCTGGGCCCAAAGTATGCCAACCTCTCTTCTTTTTTGCTTTGCGTCTTCTCTGATTGTTTTGCAGCTGTTGCTTGTGTGAGTTGTAGGCCATCTTGCCACTACCCTTCTTCAGAGGCACGAAAGGCTTCTTCGGGATCACTCCCGAGGGACTGTACTCTGCCTTGGATCCCCCAGCCGCCAGTGCTCCACTCACGTCGCCACTCTTGCGCAACTCCTCTTCCAGAATCTCCTCGAACAGCTGAAACCAAATTTTCTCACGTTAGAAACCCGCATATGAAAACAATTTTTTTTCTTGGAATAGACTGTTTATCTGGGTTTTTATGATTGTTTTTGAGGTAGGAAAATGGGGGAGGGGGCGTCCGTCTGACTTACTCTATTTTTGGCTGTGATTGGTCGGTTGTTCCAGTTGTCCTGCTGCTGATGTGAGGAGCTGTCATTACTTGCATTTACACTAGAGAAGCCTGAGTCTTCGTCCACATCTGCAACAAACAAAGAGGAATTTGAAAACCTTCAGAAAAATGGGAAACAACGGCAACACATTTTTTTCTTGAAAAACTAAGTTTTCATGCTTGATGATTTTCCGCTGAGTGGATAAGTCAAAATATATGAATTCAAAGATTAACTATTGTAATTCCATGATAGCAAAGTACCTAACCTGACTTCTTCAATCTGTCCTGGTCTTCGGGGGAAGAACTGAGAGAGGCCTTGAGGTTCAGGGGCTTCTTGTCCCCCTGTGCAGTGGCCACTCGCTTCGGTGCTACAGACTCTGGCGAAGATATCCGAGTAGGCTGATCAAACAACCAAACAATTTAAGCAGCTGAAGTGACTTTATTTTCAGCCAAATAGCTTTTTACGGGAATTAAATCCAATTTATTTAAGTATCTTTTGTAGAAAAGGCAATACTTTATTCCATTATTCCAGTTGTGATAGAATTACCGCTCTACAGTGCTGATTTAATTTCATTAAGGGCGAAATGAGTGAGGGGCGAAATAACTGAATACCGATTTAAATTAACCGGACAACGAAAAACATTGGAAAATTCAAATGCATTTCTCTCAAGTTGAGTTAAGATTAGACAAGCGAAGACAACAAAAGTAGCTACGATTTTTACGAGAGTTAATTTAAGGAAAATGTTTTTCAAAATTTGGAACCAAAATTTTACCCCAAAAATGAGTAATTTTGGCTTTTTTAGTTAATCAAGAATAACGTTGAAACTACCAGAATACATGATTTTAAAAAAACTATATCAGAAGAAGCTTCTTACTCAGCCTAACAAAGCTCGACAAGAGCAAAATTATCAAAAACTGTATAAACGAATATATTTTTGGTTGATAACCAAAAGGGTCATTTTTGCTACCTAAGAATCTAAATCTTTGCTTAAAAACAAATTTCAAAAGTTTTGCGCAAGATTACGAGGCCAAACTGTGCACTGGATAGGCGCACATTTTTGTGTCTGTATGTTCCTGGGTTCCTGAGACAAATCTTTAAACATGTTCCAAAGTGTAAGTGGATTCCACTTACAAACATTTCGTGGATTCCGCGTACAAATACCTGTAACGTAAAATTTGTCGGCACATTTGTTTTGTTGCGGATTCCGCAACAAGCAAATATAGCTAGTTGTTCTGGATTCCGCAACTGTAAGTGGATTCCGCAAAAAGTAAGTGGAATCCGCAAATTTAAATGGAACCCGCAAACAAAATGCGGATTCCACTTACAATTTGCGACTCCGCTTACAATTTGCGGATTCCACTTACAATTTGCGGATTCCGCAACAGCTCAATGTAGCTTTAGACATGTCTTATTATTTGTTTGTGGACTCCACAAACTGTTCTGGATTCCGCAAATTCGCCTATTTTTGGAGCAATTTTGAGCGGTACAATTTATAAGTATTTGTTTCTGGAATCCAAAACAGCAAAAAAAAATCAAAGAAGTAGCACTGTTGCGGGTTCCGCGACAAATCTGATTTTGGCCTGTTGCGGAGTCCGTTTACAATGCACAGAATGCTCAGTTTATCAATTTCAAACATTGTTGGGCTGGGGAGGAGGCTTGTTCTGATTTACATTTTTCATCAATTATTTCGGTAGTTTCAGCGTAGTTCTTGATTAGCTAAAAAAAATCTAATCTTAACCCAATTTGCAAAAAAACGCGCTTGAAGTTTTAAATTTTGTTAGTTTTGTCCGAATAACTAAAATCAGCACTGTATTTTAAAGATGGATTGTTTTGCACGAAGAGAATAGTTCCTTTAACTCGTTCCAAAATTGCTTGTCTGATCAAGTTCTTCGTTTATTTTAAAAAATGCCACTGAATGAGCCGAAAGGAACTCAATGCAGTAAAGAACTTGAAATTCATTCAAACAGGAACCCTACCTTGGGCAATACTGGACCGGAGTACTGAGCCGACATCTGAGGTTGAGACTCGGAGGGGGTGGGTAGAGTGGAGGGGTGTGTCTTCTGGTATGAAGGAGGGGGGTGTAGTCGGTGGGGCTGCATGGCCACAGATATGGTTGCATCCTGGCTGTGGTACAGCCTCTTTACGTTCTCCCGGTGTTTGTAGTTTTCCAGCCAAGTGTTTTTCGTCGCTTCTCTGAGGGAAGAAAAGTAATTATTTAAGAACAGAAACTATATTAATTGAAATACACGCTTTCAAGAGGCTCAGATATGTGTCGCTACGATAGCCAAAATTCATAGGAATCTTAAAAGTCTTCTCTTCTTATTTGTTACACAGCGCATCAAGAAGTTAAACAGATGACTAACAGATATAACTTTCAATATAAGTAAGCTTATTGCTTCTACCAAAATTTCATCAAGCATTGCGGGGTATCGAGTATATCAAACGAATAAATTAGCGATACCAAATTACTGAAAAAAATCTAGATTTTTCGGAATCGGAAGCCACTACTTTAGAACCGCAATTTTACCTGATGAGTCTCTCCTCTTCCAGCTGTTTCTTCCTCTTTCTCTCCTGGGCCAACTCTGTCGCAGTCTTGATTTCTGCCACCTCTAGTCCCCCACCAACTGCATCTTTAGCCCCTCCTCCTCCCCCATTGTGAATCACTGTTTGAGCCAGAGGTGCCAGAGTGTCATCATTATCTCTCAGTTCGTCTGAGACTATGAACCCAACTGAGAGGTCACTGAGAGCGGCTAGCGCTGCCTCCGTCGGCCCGTTAGATCTGGAAAAAGAATTAAACCACTATCTATATTGAAGCATCTACAGTACACTAAAGTTTTTTTTACCGATTTGGGCAACAGGCCTACAATTTTCGCGTTTCGTGGGAATTCTTTCGGCGGTGAAGAAATCAATTTTATGCGCAGAGAATGACGTTTGCTATTGCCGGGACGTATACAGGGAAGTAAAGTGATATCAAATAAATTAGGCGATGAATTGCATTCTTGGAATTCTGATACGTTCAAATTTTTCAGCGAAGATAATCCAGATGAACATCTTAATTGCATAGTCTAAAAAACTACCGGGAATTTATCACTTTTATACACAGAGTTTTATTGGAAAGTTCTATTACCATAGTAGAACTTTTCAATTACTACCAAAGTGATCTGTCACTGTCATATAATTGAAAGATATCATATATTTATATTAGCATGATTCTTCAAAATAAGCACAAGGACACTAACACGTTGGGTAGGTTGGGTTCTGCTGGCTCCTGGTCCAGTATGTTTTTGGCAATTTCTATGGAATGTACCCACTCTTCCGAAACTCTCTTTTTCATTTTCTAAAAACAAAAAATGCTTGAATTGTCAACAACAAAAAACATCTCAAAATGGAAGCTAATATAGGCATGTTATTCAATGCTGATTATTCGATAATTTTCTTAGCCTTGAAGAAAAAAGTAAACCTTATTATACCAATATTCTAGTTTCAACTGGACACAGTCAATTCATAATTAAAATGTCACAGTTCCATCATCAACTAACCTGATTGATAAATCATATCAAACCACAAACATCAGGTTGCATTCATTTACCTGTAAGTGATTGCTGATGAAAGGGTCTTTTAGCACCTGAGCAGCACTGTACCGCTTATTTTGGTTTCTCTGCACCAGTCTATAAAATTACAGCAATTTAAAACTGGCAACCAGCTGCTTTAGTAATTATTTCAGATTGTAGTTACTTTTCATAGATGTTTCTGAGTCCGAGACTGAAGGTTTCTGGCAGTTTAGGTATTTTTCCCTGGGTTATTTTGTACATGACTGCCATCATTGACTCCCCGTCAAAGCAATGCTCGAATGTGCACAGTTCGTATAGTATTACTCCCAATGACCTTAAATGCATAGAGAAAACATGAGCGAAAATTTGATTGGCTTACTTGAGAACAACTTAGAAAACGTGATATTGAACATTCCGGTGATTTAAAATACGAATTCAAATTTTAACGATGAGGCTAAGCAAAAAAAATTAAACTGCGAGCCATATTTCGAAAAAGTATGAAAAACGGTGTTTGAGAAGTTAGACGACAAGCAAATTACTTGTCACAATTGCGAGCCGGATATTCAACTCACCTCGCCAGCTACAAGCACAGGCTAAACAACAAAATACCCGACGTCTGCCCAAGTTGCTACATAACACCACCCACCACCGACTATCTGTTTAAATACCGGGTTTACTTAACCTCTTTTACCATCCAGACCTTATGGGAGAATCCCGAAAAGCTGCCAAACATCTGCAGCTTATCAAATAACCCCACGGTACGGGGGTTTTTCTCGGTTCTACCCACTAAAACACTATTAAAAACTGCCCGCTTGAACCGGGCATAGAGTTCCACTCCGTTCTCCGCACGCCAACAAACTTGGCCCCTAGAACGAGTTTTATAACCACATCAAAACCTTCCTCGTGAGAGTGCTATACAGAAGAAAGGTGCCAACATCAGCACAAAAACGCTATCACTGACAAAGATGGTTCCCCTTCTACGCCGATTTTTCCGCTAGAGACCCTGGGGATCTGCAGGAATAGATTAAAAAAGGCAAAACCAACAGGATCAGACAGGAACAATTTTTCCCTAACTCCCTCTCCCTCGATCTCTCAAACATAAACGATCTCTCTAATTCAATCAGAACGTCAATGCAGAGATCGATTTAGCTGCAACAACAGCATCAAGCAAATTAGACGCCGCAGGTTAAAGGAAATTATACTACTATTATTCTGAAACAATAGACGATATCGGGTGCGAAGGTTGTTTACAGGCTAGAATTAACATTCGCTTTTAAGTGCAAATCAAAAAAGAAAAGTTTCAAGTTTGTCACAAATTCTTGATTCCAATTAAAAATTTAGAGTTACAAGAGATACAAAACCAAGTCAGTTTGTCATTATCGTTGTGTTATCACCAATTGTGCTGGATGACAAACTGACAAAATTAAAAATCACAAAAATCTCTAATTTCCAGGTAGCCTTGTCACAATCATGATGTTATATTCAATGAGGCTTAAAATTTTAGGCAAAAACGTATGGCCAAAATTCAAAAAAGTTGAACAAAAGCAGTAAAAACGAACTACGACGAGCAAACTAAGCTGAAATCAGGAGTTGAAAATTTTTCTCCCCCGGAGTACTACAAAACTATCAGCGGGCTACTAAAGAACAACGGTCTCGAATAGTGCCAAAAATTCCCAAAACTTTAGAGGACGTGAAAATAGATTAAAAATGGAAAAAATACAGCGACAACCAAGATTTATTTTTACAGCAAAAAAAATTATGTGACGATACTTCCAGGACTGCATCAATTAATTCTGTTTTTGTCAACTTTAGAAAACTTCAGTGCAGTGAATGACCAAAAAAATCCATCACTTTGGGCGCTTATATCCAAAACAAACAAAAAAGCTTGTCAAAGTTTTGTTTAAAAATAAGAAAACATGTCTGTCGAAAAATTTCAGCTTAATTCATCGCATATCTAACCATTAGTCAGGTTTTATAGCTGCACTGAAAACCTTAATATCGGAAATCGATCTCTTTGGCTGCGAATTACACGCAGACGATCGAAATTGGAAATTTCATGTGAAACGTTTAGGACAGACCTCAAAATCAACGAGCATCAAAATGCTTGCGAATTATGGCATGCTTCATAAAACAAAAAAATGTGATAGATAGGTGTCGAAGGATTGAGAAACAGGAAAAAAAATCACAAAAATTACGTACTCAAAAATGTCGAATTGTGAGCCTCCACTCCGCAGAAAAAAAATGACGGTTACTCTGTCCCAAAATCCGTTGACGTTCGGATTTATTTTAATTTTGTTTTCTACTAATACATTTCATTTCATGATAAGACTTCGATTGGCTAGATTCGATTTTTAGACGGTCGTTTATTTTGCGTGTCGTCTAATTTCCTAGGCCTCATGAAAAACAGCTACAACCTTAAGAAATTTTAAAACTCGATCACCAATTTTATAAAACAAAGAAAACTTAGTTCTGACTATTTCCAGCTATCAAAACTAAAACAGAAAAAATTCGATTTGCTGAGTTAAACTTAATGTAATTAACTGTGAATTAGAAATAAACTGAAAACCCCGTATCTTTCATAAAAAAGTTGCATGCATCAGATTCAGCTTTCAATTGAAACCAAAAAAAAAATCAACAAAACGTTTAGGAGCGAAAAATTGAAGACATAAGTTATTGCACAAATGAAACATACAAAAAAATACAAAAAGTGTAGGCAAAACTATAAAGCTTTGTTCAAATTGAAAAAAAGCTAAATTTGAAAATGAAATCATTTCAAATCGGTAAATTACTCTAAAAAATTCAATTACAATTAAGAAAACCCAACCAACAGAGAGATGGAAGAGAGTCAAAGAACGCAATTGAATCGAAAAATTACTGATCTACTTTTTTAAAGAAAACTTTCAATTTTCCAAAAAAAAAGATGGTTTAAAGCTCTTTGAATTTCTAGAACAAATTATATTTGACAGTTTTTTGATAAAATTAACCCAATTTTAGAAAGCTGGATTAATATGTAAAATTTAAATTTCCCTGGACAATCTGATAATTAAATTCCCATTTTGAAATTAGAAGTCAATCACATTTTGCGTGACCTTTACATTTTCACTGTTTGATAGTGGAATTTGCCTTCTTTCTAATAAAGGAAACGAACTGAATTTTAAAAATTCAAAAGTCAAACCGCGAAACAAAAAAATTTGTACCTGAATAAATTTCATGAATGTTCTTTAAAAAAGAGTCTGAACTACGTCTGATATTCTTCAAAACCTGTGTAGGAGAATTCACTACGGTTATGACGCTTAAAAATGGGTCAAATATGCCGTGAAAAATGATTTAAAAATCTCGTTTTTCGGAGTGCTCGCCCACTCAAAATTAGTAAAACTTGGCATTTAAGGCACCATCATAAAATAATGCCAAAGGGTGGCGAGACGGTCAAATTCTTGGTCAAGGCAAATTTAGGATGTCTAATTTTGCCTCTGACTGACAGATCTCGCTTCGAATTGATGTGGTATTACCATGTCTCTTTTGTTGTTATTGGGAAAAAAACTGAAACATTTAGATGAAAAAAATGTAAAAATCCCTGACTTTTAAAAACAACTTTAAAAAAATCAGTTTGCTTCTAAGCAGATTGAATTAGCTTGATTTGATTTTCTTAAAATTATACTTATCGACAAAAAATCAAGAAAAAGCTCTTGTTTTATTCAAAAATTCAAGCAAATTGATTTAGTTTGATTTGATAATCTTAAAACTATACTTATCGACAAAAAATCTAGAAACAGCTATGGATTTATTGAAAATTCAGTACACTTCGCCAGATTTCTAGAAAAATCTAACCAGATAGGTGTATTAGAACGCTAGCAGGATATTCAACTGAAAAAAGTCTAATTCCTGATAAGATTCTTACTGCAGTGCTGATTTAAATAAGCCGGATAAAACAAATCAAATTGGGAAATTTTATAGCGTTTTTCTCAAATGGGTGCTGACGAATTGGGTTTAAAAATAGCATAAATATAGTTTCTACTATATTCAAAATTAATATGGCGCAATTTAAATTGCGCAACTACGGCCATAAGCTTTACCAGCCCAGACACGGCTCACTTTTGAGCCCTTAGTCATATAACAGCTACGCTGAAACTACGAGTCAATGGTTATAACATTTTTTTTTAAATTGAATACAATAGGGAGATGAAAAACGGGACGAATATAATCGCTAAAAATTTTAGCAACAATTGTTTTAAATAAAAAATTGAATTTTTAACTAGTAAAATTGACATTTTTTGGCTATCAAACAACAATTTATTTCCTTATAATAATAATTAATAATTGTAGCTCCTGCGAATCGCAGAGGAGCTATCAGTAAGCCTTAACAGTCCTGTCGAGGATAGTCCATTTGTATTATTTCCCCACATTCCAGACTGTGTTATTTTGTTGAGCGAAGCTCTTTTTTGCGACTCAAGGCCGTTTTTGTGCGTCTAGAACTTTCACGTGGTACCACTTTTGCAGCCAAATTTGGTCAGGTTGTGGTAGACCTGAAGCTAGAGGTCAAGTGAGAGCTCGTCCTCACACACTATCATTGCCATGGCATGGGATCGATTACACGATCTGACGATTCTAAAGTGAACGCCTTACCACTATGCTAAGTGCCCTAAGTGCCTTATATTAAGTTTAGGAGGTTGTAAGCCCAGTTGAGCTACATAGGATGCTCAATTTGATATCATTTGATCACTAAATTCCCAGTAGTTTAAGTTTATTTCCTGATTAAGTAAAAACAGCCAGGAACGGCTCACTTTAATGGTAAACTTTTGGGCCCAAACTCCGGGAAATAAGTTGCGCTATATTGATAAGCGCAAAATTCTAAACTTATTCAGCTTCATCAATTTGAGTCTAAAGACAAACCAAAGGCTTTCATTGGTCGGATCAAAAACGCGTAATAAGTTATTAACTTGGTTCATTTTGGTCGGATAAAATAAATCATCACTGTATCACAGTCGTATTTTTGAAAATTATTACCAAATTACTGTGCAAGTAGCACAAATGTTCCGACTACCATGTTTGGTGCATTTTTATAATTTTTCATTATAATAGATGAAATCAGCTGGAAAAAATTGCGGCAGAAGATTGCACGAGATCCATTTCTATTTAAGACCCACTCCCCTATCGTCAAGTTGGAAATTGGATTTGAATAGCAAAGAATGTAAGCATATCATTCTCTACACTTAGAAAGCTTTTGAATTATCTATCGGAACCCAATCACCACTAAATGGGTTTTAATTTGATGCCACACTCGATCTCCTCCGGCATTTGCTTAGTGTTCCGGAAATTGTTCGTAAACTAAGAAACACACCATTTGGCATTACTGCATAGTTCATTCCCAGTATAAGGTTGTCAGAACCAAAACTACTGCTTGAGAATTTACTGCTTCATTAAGGAATCTTTGAGCCGTACGATACGTTTACGTATCCTATCAATTTAAGGAAGTTTGGGAAACTGACCACATATCTGACTTGGCGTCATATCCCTCATGCTTAAGGCACTCTGGACTCATGTAGTAAGGGGTACCAATGAAAGTCGATGCCATGTCAGCAGTGCCCATCAGCACCCTCGATATCCCAAAGTCACCAAGTTTACACGTATTGTCTTTCACGAAGATGTTCCTGTCACAAAAGTTTTATCAAGTTTCCTTTATTATTTTGCGATGGTCTCATGTACAAATCTTTTCAATGCCAAGAAAAACTACCACTCACATTTTATGATTTAAAATTTAATACATCTTTTATGGCTGCTCTAATTAAAGCTAAGTATTCTAACCTTTGGAACTAATTGAAGTTGGCCCTAATTTGATATTAAAATTGAATCGCAAACTACAGATCATGGTAGCTGAAAGCACAAGGCAATTTAAGAAGAACTTGCCTCGGCTTCAAATCGCGATGGAGAATCTGTTTTTGATGCATGTATCGTGTAGCCAATACAACTTGGCAAAAATAGTCCAAAATATCGATCTCTGAGAAATGTGACCCCTCTTTCTTTGCTTTTTCAATCAGCAGCCCAAGGTCGCCACCCTAAAATTTGGAGTAGAGTTTTCAGAGAAAAAATCAAACACAATAAAAACTAGGCAATGCATCATCAGTTAAAAAATCAAAAGAGAGCACTGTAAGCCCAATCAACTGCATCATCGAAACATACGCACATCACAATATTCTGATATAATGCAGAAGAAGTCTTTGTCCAGGAAATTGTTAAAGCATTTCACCACTCCCACATGGTCTAATTTGGCCTGTAATTTAGCCTCTCGCATCGCATCTATCGTCTCGTCAGGTGGCATCTCACCTACATGAATTTCTTTCAGCACCTTCCTAAAATTGGTACAAATTCGCAGCATCCTGAATTATACGTCACCATGAAGATTTTAAATCATCTAAAAAATTTAGAAAAAATAACAAAAATAAAATTAAAACAACGGTTATTGAAAAATTCACACAATCAAATGACTAAAAAACATGGAATTTGTATGTTTTCAAAAATATCCTCGCCAATAAAATTATTAAACTTACAACTTTTCTTCGCTGTATAAGCTCTGATCATCTTCCACCAGGTAGACGGTTCCATATTGTCCCTGGCCTAGTTTTTTCCTTAGCCTGTACCGGTTAGCAACATTTCTATTGGCAAGTGCCTCCGTTTGAGCGACTCCTCTGGATATAACCATTATGATAAAACACAAGTTACATTGTCACCTGAAATTAAGCTTCCATCAAGCTATCTTCAAACCTTAAAATCTTTCAATGAGCATCAAAAAATGTGCAAATTAATCAAACTAACGCAATTCTTGCTGACCTCATAATTTCAAAATCCATTTATGTGTACAAACTGATCAAAAAAACTCTGTATAAACGTGTAAAAAATGTTTGAAACCAGCATATGAAACAGTATTCAATCATCTTGAAACATCTAGCGGCGACGCTCACCATGGTCTGGAAATTTACTTCCCAAAAAAAACTATCAGAACAATAATCAGTTGAAGCGCAAGAAGCAGAATTTAACCCGAGATTCTAGGTTCATTTTTTTGCGGAAAAATCAAGATCATAGCTTTTTCAAGATCATACCATTTTTCAATGCTTCTTCTAACTTTTCGCAATAACGAAAGTTCCCAGTGTTTTTTTTGATAGTGGAAAATTTTTTTGCTTATTGTTGAAAATTTCCGGAGCTTGGAACAGAACTTCGAAAATAGATAGATTCAATAAAATACTCGTGACAGTTGCCCACCAAATGGTGTCAAACTCTCAATTGAAAATTTTACGGCTTATCATTTAAAAACCTAGAAACAATTTCAATTGAAAAGAAAAAAAACGATTTTCAGAACTGGTGCGTATTCATAGGTCCCAAAATGAAAAATGAGTCCCATAGGTTCCAAAATAAAAAAGCTGTCGCATAAGTCCCAAATCTTTTCAATAGGTCAGAAGACTAAATTAGTCAGAAGACTAAATCAGTATATAATCAATCCAGAAGTCTCTGTTTAAGGTCGCCGGTGGCCGCGCCACGCGCGCCTCGCCGCGATAACCGGCTCTAAATTTCGTATAGAGTCCTACTCCTTGGTGGCAAGCTCGCAACACGTTGGCGCGACTGCGGCGGTCACTATGCTGCAGCTTGAGTTTATGCGGCTTGAACAGAATATAATCAATCCAGAAATTCGTAGGCTCAAATTTCAACCAATCAGAACTCAATAAGATAGATTTTGGAAATTATGCGACTGATTTTTTTTTATTTTGGGAGCTATGAATACTGGAACCTATGGGAATTCACCCACAGAATTATATCGTTTTGAGAAATAACAGTTCAATGTAGAGCAAGATGATGATGAAAATGCTAAATGATTGGTTTTTCTTTTCAAAATTGAATTACATCACTGAAATTGATTTAGAGAGACAGAGAGGAAGAAACAATTGATTAAGAGAGAGAGAGAGAGAGAGAGAGAGAGAGAGAGAGAGAGAGAGAGAGAGAGAGAGAGAGAGAGAGAGAGATTGTAAGGCTTTATTATTTCTGTCCGAGATGATTTAATAACAAGGCAGATTATAGTGTACGTACAAATGTTAAGTAATAAGAAGTGAAATACGAAATAAGTGTTGAAAGACATGTACGTGCGTAAGTCGATTATACTTGAAAACTGTTTTTTTCCCTTCTGGCATGCCTCAAAAGTTATTCCTTGCGGGGCAGCGAATTATTGAGTTCAAAAAAGATTTGCAATTAAAACTTGCATTTAAATTGCAAAAAAACGCACGTGCAATATAGTTGATGTTTTTGCCTTCTGATTTCTACATTTTGAAAGAGAAAAATCTAATTTTTTTTCAAGTATACCTACGGGTGAAGGCTTTTTTGCCCCCCATTGAGTAAAACCAAGTCATGAGTCAACAAGAACTGACGGAATCTCAGCTACCAATTACTCACGAAGTGCTGATTGAAACGGAGACAAATTTCAGAAATGCGCTAACAGCAAACAAATCGACGACACAAACAAAACAAATCCAAATAATCAAAATCATCCCCCCATTCTCGAGAGAAATTGTAAGGTCAGCTGAAAATCTGGCGCAGGCATATCGAAGTTGTGCTTCCGATATACTTAAACAATTCCCCACAACAATGCAACAGAAGATGACAATCTCAAAAACAATAACCGTGACGAAAGATGACCGCAAACTTCATACACTGACAGTTATTGCTCCCCCCGAAGCAGAGCAATTCATAACTAGCATCAAAAGCGAAGGAATCATTCTACTTAACAGGACGGTATTTCCCATGGGATGCTTTCCAAGGTCTCATAGACCCAAGAACATTTACCCTAAACTAGCAAAAATCAAATTGTCGAACTTGCCTTATGTATGCAACGATATCGAAGCGAAATTAATTCTCCAATTGCCAGAAGACATAATTCATAGCCCCATATTCCAACGTGAGACCTGTATCGTAACTGAACCGGGTCAGTATGTGTAACATTCGCCCGGAAGATACATATCGACGGATAACAAAACTAAGTCTTAAGACGACTGGCTAGCGTCTAAACAGAGCTTTGCATGTTTTTCACCGTCTCTACCAAGCCAGTACTTTTCGGTGGTCTTTCTTACATCAGGCTGACAAAAACGCTACTGTTCTCCGGCTTCGACCAGAACGCTCAAATTAACTGAATTACATGCAAAATTAGTGAGCTCATGGCTGGGTCTCTGTATCCCCAGACCACGAGGTCACTCCTAAAAACAGGGCTACTACTTATTATATTACTATTGTTTTTGTTCAGTAGATAAAAATCATCATCTCCATCGAAGATGGATCAACCCTTTCCCCCAACTCCTAGCACCTCATCCTTGTCAAAACTAATCAAAATATCAGTTAAATTCAAGTCAGGACATGACAGGATGCTAAAATTCAATACAAGTTCATAAAAGTTCCCGTCCCGAGACCCTTCCGGATTCTTGAATCCGGCGAATCAAGCTCCTTAACCTCAGGTTCACGCTAACTCGGAGGGCTGGTTTTTACCCTTCACCGTTGTTCGCAACGGCCTTGCAACTATTGTAACAGCACAATAGTTGCAACTCGGAACGTCCTCTGCTGTTCGGTAGTTCGTTGTTGTTTTTTAGTCTCGATTTTTGTACTGTTCGTAATCGCAGATAAAGTTGTTCTGTTTCTTTCTGCTATTTTAGCTAAAATGGCCGTCTCTGACGTTTCTCAGAAATATGACGTCATAATTCGAATTTTTAAAAATTAGAATTCCAGAATCTTCTAGCCTTCACCGTTTGGCTAATCTTTCAAATAACGTCCTTATCCGTTCTAAATCGCCAATTCGGAAGGCTTGCTGCTAAAATACCGAATTCTGCAGAGACTGCATTTTGGCCATTCTGGTCGAATGTCACATACTCCCCGGACAGTCCGGTCAATGTCCTCATTGAATCGCGCAATGTTCTAAATGGTTACAGTGTCATCGAACAGAATTTACAAAATGCACGAAATTACTTTTACCTACGTCACATCGACTCACTGCAGAATATAAATGGCATCATACTACATCACTATAGCCTTCAAATTCTTTCATTAATCTGCACATTGAGGATATGACTTAAGATAAAACATATTTTCTGACTTCCAGTGTCAATGTCCCGATTGAAACTTTTTCTCCTAGATTTAAAAGGTTTTGGCTTGCAGGACAGTCCTGCCAACCAACAAGCTAAAATTATCCTACTATGCTCCTTCCCTTCGGAAATCTTGCTTGTTTATTGTCCTGAATATTAAAACTAAGAAACTTTGTGGTTAGAAAGAACAATGCAACAACCTCCCTCCTCAAGAAGTTACTCCAGTTTTTCATGTCACCACAAAGTGATCAGTCTTCCTAAGTGATTAAAAACAATCATGCAGGCTGGAATATTTAAATATACTCTTCCCTCAAGCCTTTCTAAATAAATAATAAGTGAGTGTCTCTAAAGCCACTTCAACTAAAACCAAAATGCAAATTTATAAATGCAACAATTTCCAAACTCAACTTAAATGTTTCAGTTTTCAATTACAACTTGGTTGCTTGGTTTCTCACTTGAGTTTTTCACACACATAAAACAATTTTGAGTTTTAACTTTTCTTCATCATCCCTTTGTTCTCTTCTTTTTTCGTCGTTTAGAAGTTCTAAAACTTCTAAATTCTTCTAATTTTCTTTCTTGTTGCCTCTTGTTTTCTCGACCATTCATCAATGCTCCATTTCCTCCTCCTGTGACGCTGACTCTGCACTCTCGGTCTCCGTGTCTTGTAGCACGTCATTGACTATCCTGACGCTGTTGGAAGCCGTCCTCCAACACTTCTGCTCTTCCACCCTCTGTTTACAACAAGGTAGGGGATCCACGTTTGATTCTCTGTTTCTACAGAAGCTGTTGTGGAGACACAACGCCACGTTTCTTTCCAAATCTTCTTTCAGCATCTCTGCCTTCTCATTTCCACTACGCTCGCTCGTCCTGGAAATTCTTTTCACAGCGGTGGTCACTGCATTCCGATGGGTCACGAAAGCTCGCTTGAAAGCTCCTGCCCCAATGTCCAGCTGATATTCACTGTACACTCTGCCATGTTTCGACATATGCTTTTTCGCATACTCGTACAACCATGCAGTCATGTTAGCTCTGAACCATGGCATCAATCGTTTTCTTGCCCATATCTTCTTCACTTCCATCGGAATGTTTAGAACTTTGCACATTGTCTCAAAAAGATCTAAATCTTTTAGACAATCTAATTTCTGCAATTGTTCTCTCGTCGGTGCCTCCTGTCTATTATTTTCTCTCACATGAGCTTCCAGCCATCGTATCGCCATCATAACTCCCACTATCACTATTGTTATGGGCTGTGATGAATCTGGTAAACCCATGGAGAGCAGCTCTCCAGAGTCCCAGATCAACACCAGATTACTACGCTTGGGATACCACCAGGTCTGCAGCAAGCAGTGGCAAGGAAACTCGTCATGTGTCAACATGATGCTCCTCCAATTCCGTTTTCCCGAAGCTTCCAGCAATGGCTCCACTTCCATCATCACTCGGTGGATCTCATCATTCTCATCTACTGCATTGTAATCTGTGACAGTTGATCCTCTCTGTTTCTGTTTTTCAAAGTCACTGAAGTTCCCGCTCACATATCCCATGAACTTCTTTCCTAGTATTGACTCCAACTCCTCTTTGGTTCTTTCTGGGACTGCTGAGAACATCTTACATAGTAACTCGT